AAAAATAGTAAGCTCAGGGTGTAAGAGAAAGGAATTGAGACGAAGGGAAAAATAAGGCTAATTTATTTAATAAAAATGACTTTACTTCGAATTTTAGCACTGTTATTTTCGCGATCGAACGCGTCGAGGAAAGATTTTAATAGTCCACTTGGGATTGGAAAGGCAACTGGAACCCACTCGAGCGGGTTTTCTTAGCGTTTCTTGAGACGAAGGAGCGGATTTAGCGCACTTTCTCCAATAATCCGATGACAGCTGTAAATAAACAGCGATATAGGATATACTAAATAACGGCGTTTAAGATGATAACAATTTAACAAAGAGTACCGATGTATTACCAGCCATTGTGCGCGGAGATCTCTCCGAATAAATGGAGTTCCACTATACCTAATAAGCTCCACGAGAGAGCTCGTCGGAAATCCCCAAAGTACAACTCGCAAGTACTCGTCGAAGAAAGAGAACGGGGGTAGAGTTGAAAGTGGAAAGGTATTCCGCGCCAGGGTGTAACGCAATTAAACATCCGGTATTTTTCTTTCCCGATGTATCTTCGTGTCGCGAAAATTCGCCGGTTCCTCGAGAAGAAAACACATTTGTGAAACTTGTTAACTTGCGATCAAATATACCAATTTTTAACTTTACGGCATTTTTAATAATAATAATAATAAATTAATGGAACATTTTATCGAACTCGAAACACGCTCGTGATATAATAAAAATTCATGTCTCTCGTCAGAACATAATTTTAAATCAATTCGCTATGATTAAAATAAACTGAATTTTTACATGTGGAAAATCAGCTAATTAAATAATTTAACATATACACATTTTTTATTCCTTTTACGCGACGTAATAACATATAGCAACCTTGTTTCTCTAAATTCTCTCGACGGAAACTTTCATCGTCAAAAAATTGACGTGCTTATCGGCGCCGTGAAAAGCGCGAAAACCCAATGTATTTCTACAACGTCGAGTTCCGGACGTCAAATTACATAACGTTACACTACGTCAGCAAATAAATACGTATCTCGCGATCGTTGCGAAACGTTTGTTCCATAGCCGGAACAAAGCGGTATCGCTCTTTATAAGAGAATAAAGTCTAGTATGACGGCGATAAAAGGCGACGCGATAAAGTCGCCGACGAGGAGAAAAAGGGGGTTAACACTTTTCATCCCCCTCGTGCTACTATTTCTATATCTTCCTTTAAACCGCAGTCGACTTCGGACGCGTCTCCTCGCGCCAGTAAAACCATCGAAACTTAAGCGCCGGTCCGAGCGAAATACCACCCCCACGGTCGTTTGACTTACGACCCCAACTCTATTGCGCTCTCGGGGCTTATCTGCGCGATTTCGGATCGCAATAAATGTTTTCTCCGCTCGAGGTACGCGAAAATCTCGTCGCGTCACGCTCCGACACGTTTCGCCATTCGCGAATAAATCGGAATACAAATAAAAATATACTGACTAGGATGAATATTTATTTGATAGGTAATATTTGTTGGGATTTACGTATTAAATATAGGGTGTTCCAGAACTGGCGGAAGTTTTTAATGGCAGATTCCTGGCCATTAAAAACTTCGTTCGATTTTCACTCAGCGAAAATGTTGAGACACCAATAATTTGCGAATTATAAGCGGTTGAAAATAAAGGCTTTCTTGGAAACTAAGCCTTGTGGAAATTAAATGTTAACAGAACTACATTCTTCAGTCAATTTTAGGTAGAGTTTGCTTTAATAGAATTTTAATACAAGGCTTAGTTATATAAAGATACATAACGAAAATTAGGAACATGCTAAAAATGGCCTCCCTCAACATTTTCACTAAGGAAAAGTCGTCTTCAAATGATACCAGGAATCTGCTATTAAAAATTACCGGCAGACACCCTGCATACATTCACAGAATTTGTATGAATAATAAAATTATTAAGTATTTAATTTAGCAACATTTAATTATTTATTTTAAAAGCGTAATGAAACGTGTATAATAAAATATAAAAGGAGAGAAGTTTACTCTAGCATATTTGGGAGAACTTTACTTGTGCTAGCATTTATATGTGCGTTTTTCTGCTGCGAAACCGCATATCGCCGAATAAAGTAGGTGTACAAACTGAAGGGAAGGAGGTCTAATCCTTGTATCTTTATGAGTCGCCTTCCTCTCTTCGACGCAGCGCGTATTTGAATAACGCGGTTGAGTTTCGCGTGGTTGAAACCGCAGAAAATTAAACGCGAGCCAACGCAATAATACCCGCAAGCCTCCAGACGTATTTTCCGCGTTTTATTTCGGGATAACTTTCGTGCTTCACGCCACTGAACGACGTTGGTATGCCATTTGTTGTTTTCCCACCAAAGTACCGAAATACACGACGAGGAGGGTTGAAAAATGCTTGGGGCCGATCATGGATAAATCGACGGATTTTATCATTTTCCATCTCGCAAATATTTCCTCGCGATTCAACATTGTTGCGTGCCTACATTTTTTTTTGTTCATTATTTTTTATCACTTTATTATCCGACTTATTTTCTTTAGATTCTTTTCTTTATTAGTTTATTTTCCAACATCCATAAAACCTGCTTTAGATTTCTTTATAGGCGAGAAGGTAGTTTGAAATATACATAATTAAGAAAAAAAAGATAAAAACATGTTAAGTTTTAATTTATTCTGACTCTTTTATGGCAAGGATCCAGAAAGGACGATAATTCACGGAGCGTTCGACAGCGAATTGAGAGAAATAATGTCGGCGAACATACCGCGATTGGAAGCAATTTAAGTCGAAGACGCGCGACTGTAAGAGAATTTTCGTTTTTCCAAAATCCAGAGCTTGATTTATTACGCAAAGTCCCAGGTAGGGGGTTGGTCGTCCTCCTAGCGGAAACGTTTATTTTTCTTGGAAATTCGCGGCACGACGCTCGCGTACGTTCTCGCCGTAGGGTGCAGTATTTTTGTTCTCCCCTTTTATATATACAGGGTGTCTCATTTTAATGTCCTACCCCTAATAACTTTTTTTCATTTTTTATCGTAGAAGAAAATATATTTCAGATAAAAGTTGTATATGGTTTCAAGGGTGACATAAGACGGTGCCATCAGTTTGATCTTGAATAGTTGCTCGAAGGTCACTTTTTCATTACATATTTTTCTAGCTTACATCGAGAGCTTTCCAAAATCCTATAATTAAGCACCTTTTTGTTAAGAATTTTTTAAGTTGCGAAGAATCGTGACCTTCACGCGACCTTCAAGCAACTATTCAAGGTCAAATTAATGTCTTATATCCCTCGAAATCATACAATTTTTATCTGAAACATTTTCTTCTACAATCAAAAAAATAAAAGTTACACCCCGTGTATATAAATATATATAGAGAGAAAGAGTTACTGGAGCGAATTTACCGTGGCTACGCGCAGGTACCGTTAAAGGCAGCGTACACCATTAGACGTGTACACGTACGTATAGCGGCAGATGTATCGCGAAATGTACGTACGTATCGCGGCAATAGCAGTCGAGAGTAAATATGGGCCAAAGTAGGTACCATTAAATCCAGACGCGATACAGCGCGCCCGGACGATTGGTCCCGCCGCTGTTGCTGGTCTGGCCAGAGACCCTTCGAATCGTTCGTCTTGAATTCGCCATTAAACGCACGTAAACGGAGCGCGTAAATCCACGCCGGGTCTGCTCCGCCGCCGCGATTCGATTATTCGTCCCGTAATTCGGCTCACCGCTGTCTTAACGCTTGATGGGTGTTAGGCCACCGCCCTGGTGTTTGTTCATTATGTGTTTCGTTGTCGTGACGTTGATCGATCTTTCGCCCGCAAGATTGCACGGGCTGTTTGAGAAAGGTGCGTGCGCGCGGTCGGCGCCATAATTACGTGAAACGTGGATCGTTAATTAAATTAATCTTAAATGAAAATCACGAGGGAGGGTATATGTATGTATATACGATATCAAAGTATCCCTTGTAATTGCGAGATATATGTGTGCATCAATTTTACGAGTAATGATACGTAATAAAATGGAAATGTTTTTTCCTCTTATATATGTATTTGTAGGAATCTTGATAAGATAAAAATAGATTTTTAACGGGAAAATTTAAAAATGCGCAATGTAATTATATGAAACGCGCGCAGCTCCGGTTCTGAAGTTTAGAATAATTTGGCGCAATGAAAATGGAATTTCGTTAATAGAAATTTTTAATTATTCTAATTTAAAATTAAACGGTTAAGTGAAACTAATGAAGATAAATAAATGATAAAATTTTGATTAATTTTTAACGAATAAAACTGTTAATTATAATTTTAACTCGACAAACTATTTAATTGTAAGGATTAAGATTCCTCTTCTTCTAGTATCTCTTCATAAAGAAATTTCATTTTTTTTAAAGGTATTTCTTGAAGGAAAATCGATACGTCGAGATAAAATCTGTTTCAAGTTGTCTCGAAAGTTTTAGCTTTCAAAAAGGGAACACTAAAATTTTTCATGATTCGATATATTCGAAGTGTCGTTTCATTATCGTGAACGACCATTTTCTCTGTTATGAAAGATTGATGGAGGAAAAGAAATGAGAACAGAGACAGAGATTTGCCAGTAGGTACTTTTACGTCTCTCTTTTATTTATCGGCAAAGTCTTGATCACGATCCGACTACCATCAATCTTAAATGATTACTGCCTCATCAGTTGATTCGATTAAATCTTTCTTCCCTCTCTTTCGTTCGATTCGGTAAGTTCTTATTTTTCTTCGATCAAAGTGAAACTGTCTATGAGATTTGATGAATCACATTCCGTGATTAACAATGAAATTAGATAAATAAATATTACACAATTTATACGAAAGCCAAAAATTATTCTAAAATAATAATTCCACGTAATTAATAATATTTATGATATATTTTACATCTTTAATTATAAATTTAGACCATTCTTTATCTCTTTCCACGGTACTTATATTATGAAAAAGTGATAAAAAAATCTCCGCGAAACAATTTGTCTAATCGGTAGCGTTATTGCTTTGTGTTTCAGGGAACCGAATTGCAAGTTGAGGTCTCTGAACGTGTCCAAGTGTCTTCTGGGCGGCTTGGACGCCGGCTGTTTAGGGGAGACCATCAGAAGGGCCCGTAATTTGGACGCACTGAGGGCCGCTGGGGCGTCGAGGCCAGCTGACGTGATGCCCCTAGTGCTAGCTTTGACAGAAGCGCCGTGTCTTCAGTTGCTAGACTTGTCCAGTCCTCGATTGGCCCTGGACGATCATCCCTCGAGACTATTGTGCCACGCTCTGGCCAGGAACACGACTCTGAAGCTGCTCAGTTTGGAAGGATGGACCTTTCGGATAGAGGTGAGTGAAATATCTGATTATATCCGTAGGAATCTTCGTAGCAATTGTGGTTGTCACACTTACAATTTACTGCGATACATTTAAATAACAAAGAAAAGTGAATGAGTCATCTCCGAGATGACACTTGATCCAATTTTATACTTTAAACGAGCTTTTTCGATTTTTGATAATAAGTATAAATTTTAATAATTACACGTACTTATATATTTCGTGGAGACATAAGCTTGTATGAAGAAGACGATCAGACCAGTTTCGTCTGGTCTTAACGTTATTTTTATCTTTGTACTACTTTCGGGAGGAAGTACAATTCGCGAAAACGGAATTGTGGGCGGGAAAAATAAGGACAAACCAGAAGAAACGGGAATTATGTATTTGCTTTTCCGTGTCGACGTGCAATTCGGAGCAGAAATCTTCCGTCGCACCTTCCTGCGGAAATTTAACGATACGACCGCCTACGATGAAAGAACTAAATTCACAATCAGTAGTCTTGATAACTATACACGAACAGTCTTCGTGCGCCACGTTATTACAGATTTTCTTTTCCAAGACGTGAGTAGAAACACACTTAGCAGTGGACTTTTGGGAGGGATTCAAAATTATTTAAATATAAAATATTTATAGAGAGATACGTGTAAATATACACAGAGAAAATTATCTCTTAGAATTTACTCTAAAAATTAATCGTGAGATAATATAATATTCGGAGAAGTTTCTTAAATTTTAATATTTACCATAACAAAAAATATTAATATGTAGTATACATAGTAAAATTAATTCAACATATTTTATATCTTATCGTGTAAATATTAATATTTTTATGGTAAATATTAATCAGAGAGACTGTTATAAAATCCTTCGAGTTCCATATTATCCCACGATCACTAAATGATTTTCAGGGTAAATTTTAAAAGAAAATTCCCTCTGTGTATATTGATATAAATTTACGCTGGAATTCACACGAGTCTGTTCTGACACTTCCACTCCAGCCTCGGCGGAGTGATAAATCATCGATTAGAATTAACATCAATATATCGACTCTAATTAATATTAATTAATTGTTGCATTCTCTCCCTCGTTCGCCTGCATTCATCGCACCATTTCGCGCGACTACAAAACTGCGCTGCAACGCGCATTTAAATTATCCGCATCTGCCGTAATTGATGTTACTCAATGCGATATCCAGTGCCGTCCGTTTCAGTCAACAATGTAACAAACGGGCGATATTCGCGAGTCATTAGTCGATAATCGGCTGTAAAACGAGAGACGTATATAGCGCGGGATGTTTCTGACGCTTCAGTTTTCGCAGCTCTCTCTCCGCTTTTCTCCCTCGCAATAACGATAATAATTAATATATACCCCAAAGTCGGAGGGCTCGCGAGATGAGCGGCGATTAAATAATTCCAGATTAACACGAGCGTAGAACGTCGACCGTGTGTTTCCGATGTCGTAACAACGTGGCGTTTACCGTTAATCGTTCCACCGCGAATTTCCGCAGACGTGCTTCTCCATCGCCTCGTACACACACATTCTCGCTACAATAATATCCTGGCTTTCACATACAAACCTGACGAGAAATAATAATCTCGAGTCGCTCTTTAAATTTAATAGCTTTTATAGTTCCCGCGTATTATGAATCATTTTAATAAGATACATGTGTTTCATATAAGCTTTATTTCATTCTACGTCTTTCTCTACTCTCTTCATTTACATATATTTTGTCTAATAATTATCTAGACAAAACAGTTACATTTTGCCTAATTAAATATTTCAATAATTTTATATATAATTTTGTTAAATTTATTTTTGATTTTTAATATATAAATTACATATACATATATATTATAATATATAAATTTAATATATTTTATATTTAAATTTACGGAACCTTTATCTACTTGTTGTTTAATATATAAATACAATCACAAAAACCAAGTTTTTTATAATTGATCAAAAATTGAAAGTATATTTTGTTAAAGCACCTAAAAACGAATGCTTTCCGCTACATAGTTGCGATTAAGTATTTCGCGGAATCTATAAAGAAGCAGGATCTCTCTCGTAGGAATCGTTCGTATCGCAATATCGTCTCGATACAACAAAGCTCTTCAGTTCAGACTCGCGAGTCAATATTGTTTCCATTTCGTTAAGCTTTGAAACGCCGGGAAGAGTCGAATGAGAGAGGTGAGCGAGAAAGAAACGGAGAGAAGGTCGATTCTCCGCGGTATGCGTTTGGAATCTGCAAAGCTGCACCCTTGGGGTGTACTTTCGAGTTTTCGAAGAAGTTATTGAACATTTCGGGAGATCGACCGAAGGAACCGAGAGAGCGAGATGGCCTTTGGTCACAGTAACTTCGTAGTCCCTCAGCAAAAGGAATCGATCGGAACTCTGCGGTTTTCCGTCACGAATGTGTCCGATGCTGTCTCCGTCCTTTCAGAGAAAAATTACTAAAGTATATCTTTTTAACCCCGCGAACTAACTTTTTTCATCTTTGTCGACACACGAAAGTATAACGTATCGTATCGTATCAGGACGTCGCAAAATCGTGGTTTACAATATTCTAATCTAGAAGGTTTTTTTATGATTAATAAATAATTATTTTATAATTTTTTAATATATGCAGAATATTTTTAGCGTAATTATTATGTAAACGAAATTTTTCATTTTTTTCGCACTTTAGAAGAGATTATGTTTACATTAAAAAATGTGAACAATGAGAAAATTCAGTGAAAATATTTAATTTCAACGAAATAACTCGTGGCATCCGGGAAACATATACAATTTTCCTTTCGCGAGAAGAATTCAATTTGGAGAACTTGTGACAATATTTAACGCGCAGGACAATCTCGTAGCATATTTGTATTTTGTATATTTATTTATCTGGTGAATATTGTTTGCGAACCACAAGCTTCCGGCAAACTTCCGGCTGCAATTAAAGACTTTCAAAGTATGCTAACGAGCGCGGTTGCTTCCATCCGACGCGACAAACTCGTGCGTTTAATCGCTCGACATTTAATCGCATTCATAACAGCGAAATTCTGAAGCGTATGCTCGAGACCACCTTTCTAGAACTAAGGATGCTGAAAATACGGGACAGCCCATTTTCTCGGTTTCAACGTTAACTTAAGATGTATATTTCATTATGTATGCTAAATGCGAAATACTGCATACAAAACGAAACAATTTATATGCAGCAATTTCTTATAATTATTTTAACAATAGATATATATATTAAGAGATTTTAAAAGAGGGGTATTAAATATTAATATTAAATATAAACGCATCGAAATAGAAAACTAAACATTTTTAGGGGTCGAAATTTATGAAATGAAAAAATATAAAAACTCCAAAATGGAAAAAAAAATTCAAATATGAATGTAAAAAATGTTGAATATGAAATTATATTTAAATGATAATTTTGATTGAAAGAAAAGAGAATCTTTTTCTTCATTTAAAAAAATGGTGTTATTATCACTTTTCATTGTGAAACAATCGCGGGGACTAAATTGAAAGACGCGAGATGAATGACAGAAAATGTGAATAATGTAAGAGACGCCACTTTGCGTCTCAAATTATATATCGCGTCCTTTTTAGTCGCCGCATTTCTATCGGAATTGCGGCGACGAGCCATTATCTCTCGCCGAGGTACGACTCGAGCGAGCGATAGGGAAGACCTTGGCTGTAAACATAGCTGGAAATTAGGATCGAAGAGACGGAAAGAAGAAGAACGCTACAGCCGCGAATAATCCCAGCAGTCACACGCCCTGCGAGCGGATAATTAATTATCGGCGATCCCGCTAAGGGAAGCGTATAAGGGAAGGCTGGGGGTGGTATTGTTTAGACGCTCACTAATTACGGAGCAGTCGGCTAGGGAGCTCGACGCAGAAGCGCCACTGGGGATACCTTCAATTTATTTTGCTTTTACGCGCTAGGACCCCATTGTCTCAGCTCGTTTATTAATGGCGACGCCACTCCGTGGTCTGTTTGCGAGGGTGGATCTTTAAGTGCGCGTTTTTAACACCAGGATAAGAAAGCTTGTGTGTGTGAGTGTGTGTGTATTTTTTTTTATTATGATGAAAACAAATTTATTGACTTTGAATAAATATTTATTTGTGCTTATTAGGCAGTATTGAAATAAAAATTTATTAATTTTTTTCAGTGTATAAATATCTTCAAATTTGTAGACTTGATTTACTTCGTGTAAATCTTAATTTGAATTTTAATTTAATATTTTATATATTTAATTTGATATCTTTCGGTTCGACAATTTCTTCGAAATAATCTGTACTTGACGATAATGATAAAAAATGACTGCAATATATATATATATATAGACGGTATGTACTCCTAGGATTTATTCTGGAATTCTTTTTGGGAGAGATGCGAGATATAAACTCTCTCTCTGCTCTTTTTCTCGAAGAGATTATTCAAATCCGAGGACGAGAAAATGCGAAGATTCTTCTGAGAATTTTTCTGCAGGATTTTTTCCAACCCTCCATCCTGGATATCGCTTTGTGATAACCGATTATTCCGTCGACGGTGGCAATTTTTTCGCTCACCCGGGTTTGATAACAGCGGGATCATCGCGAAAATGACAAGTTTTCTATTCATGCACGATTTACTCGAAATGTCCAATTAAATTTTAGTTTTATGTTTTTTCAAGATAAGTACATGATCTGAATTTTAAAAAACTATTTGCTTTTAGTTTGATAGAGAATTCTTCGAATAATTCTTGATGACGGTTTTTGTTTCAACCAACATTTTTTAAAACATTAAATTTTTTAATTACTATAATGAAAATCAACAGTTTTTAGGACTTTAGGCGCAAATAATAATTAACAACATATATATATATATATATATATATCGTTTCTATTACTATTTACAAATAAGAGTACATTTTATTTTTACGGAATTTTAATTAGAATCTCAACTGTTAAAATATTTTGATGTCAATGTTGAATATTAAAAATTGTCTTAGAGATTTTTAAAAAATCGCAACTCTG